CCAAGTGTCCAAAGTGTCCATCCCCAAACAACGACCCCCCTGTGTATTCCCGACCTTCCAACGCTGGAATTTCCCCTCGGATTCCGAGCAAAGCGGCCCAAAAATGCGGCTCCGGCCTCCCACGGCCTCCCCCGCTCCCACAGCGGGAATCCACGGAGTCCAGGAAGAGCCGGGTGAACCCCGGGATTGGGAAAAGGGAGAGGGGGTGGTGTCCGGCTCCGGAATTTTTCCCCACCTGTTTCTTCCCACGGTTTCATGGTCCTTGACCACCACGGTGAGCTCGGCATCGGGATCCAGCGGGATTCCCTTCAGATCCCACTCGAATCCCTGGGGGAAAAAGAAGAGGGAGAGGTCGGGATCCGCACCTGGAAGTGGGAAACCCAAATCTCAAAACCCTTTGGAACCACCGAGTTCCCAAAGTCAAATTTCTCGGCAAATCCAGCTGGAAAAGTTGCCTTGGGAAAAAGTTTTCCTTGGCCATGGATTGCCGGGAAGGAGCAAATCCCAGGAGCTGTTCCAGCCCCAAATCCGTGCCCGTTTTCCCACCAATATTTTTATTTCTGTTTTTTTTGAATTTTGGCCCATGGGAGCACAAGGACAGGGTTGGAAGGGAAAAGGTGCTGGAAAAATTCCCATTCCATAGAAATTCCTTGTAACCGAGTCCGGATAGGACCTTGATGGAAGAGGGAAGAGATTGGAATTCTGCCTGGAATTCTGGAGCAGACAGGGAATGATCCCGAGTTTTCCACGGGGAGGAAGCCCCAGGGAATCCCCTGAGCTCGGGGCCGTTTTCTGGGAACAGGGTTGAAATCCAGGGATTGGGAATTCTCACCTCATTCCAGACAGGATTGATGTTGTTCTTGATGACCTTTGTCCTCTTCTTGACACCTGGAAGGAGAAAAACCGGGATTGGGATCTTCCTGGGGATCGGGAGCTTCCCAGGGATCAGGATCCCGGAAACTCTGGGGCTGAGCTTCCAGGGATTCCCACAATTCCCTGGATCAGCCTCTGTTCCCTGCTCCCAGCTGGAGCTGAACTTCCAAGAATTCCTAGGAAAATGATTGAATCCTGTTCCCTGCTCCCAGAGGTGGCTGAGCTTCCAGGGATTCCCACAATTCCCAGGATCAGGATCCAGCCCCATTCCCTGTTCCCAAGCAGGGCTGGGAATGCAGAGATTGGATCCGGGATCCCCCTTGGAGCCCCAACACTTCCAGGATGGAAAACGCTCTGGAAAATCCCATGGAATCCCCTCCTTGCTGTGCCTCAGTTTCCCCAGGAGCATCCAAAGGTTTCCAGGGATTGGGAATTCGGGGTGGGTGGGAAGAGCCAGGGGAGATCCCAAACATTGAATTCCCTCCTTTCCCAAACCTCGGGGTTGTGCCTCAGTTTCCCCAAAAAGCCGCATGATGGGGAATCCCGGGATTCCCCCAAATCCAACATTCCCGATCCTGGGAATTCTCCATCCCTCCCCACCCCCTTGCCAGAGCCACGCCCCCCTCATCCCTCCTGGAATGTCGCCGCATCCCAAGGGAGGGACCCCCGCGGGAAGAGGAAAAGGAAAAGGCCAAACAATGGAGGTGACTCAAATCCCGGGAGACTCCGGGATATTCCAGATATTCCCGGTTTTCTGCTCTTCTCGCACCGCTCAGCGACTCCTTCCCTGTTTGGGACTGGGAAGAGCCGAAATTCCCGGCTCTGGGAATACGGAAAACTCATCCCGCTGTTTTTCCTCATCCAGAGATTCATTCCCATCCCATTCCTGATTTTTGGGGGTGTTTTTTTCCCCCGGGATTCAGAGCCCTGGAATTGCCCTGGATGAGGATTCCATGGAAAACGGAGCTGCCGGGATTCTCCAGAGGGATCCCGGTGGGAATGGGATCGGCAGCACCCCCATCCCAAACGGAAAACCTGGATTGGGAGCCGCTCGGCCTTTTCCTTCATTTTTGTTAAAAATGTGATTTTTGTCCTCATTTTTTTCGAACTCCAGGAAAATCCCAGGGCGGCGCCATCCTGAATTTTGGGAATTTTGGGAGTTCAAACCCCTCCGTTTTCCCAGGAAATCCATTCCTCGGGAATGGGATAACCCCCGCTCCGTGTGGGATTATTCGCATCCATCCCAATCCAGAATTCAAGGATTTAAAGGGACGGAATTCCCGGGGATATTCCAGCGTGGATTTAAAAACTTTGGGATCAGGGAGATAAAAGCGGCAAAGGGAAGGATTTTCCAAGGAGCTTCCCAGATCCCAGATTTTCCTGGGAGCTGCTTCCAAAGCAGGCAAAAATATTCCAAACCCCTCTTCCTTCCCAAATAATTGAATAAAAAAAAAAGAAATCGGGATTCCCTCACCTCGGAATGTCAGGCTGGCCACGGGATCGCTTTGTTTATCCCGCTTTTCCAGGTTGGGAAGTTGGGAAGCCCTTTGGAGGAGGCAGCGGAGCATGGCCGGGATCGGGAAAGCCGGGATCGGGAAAGCCGGGATGGGGAAAGCCGGGATAAGGATCCGCTCCCATGTCCCATTCCCACCCCCTTTTCCCGGTCCGGCCCTTCCCGGCGTGGGAACGCCCCTGGAGAGGCTGGGAAAAAACCGGGATGGTGGGAAGGAGAGCTGGGATTGGGGGGAGATGGGAAGGGCGGGAGCTGGGAATAAATCCCTGGGATTCGGGGAGGCTGGAATTCCCAGGGATTTGGGAATGCTGGGAAACCCCGGGATGGGGAATAGATCCCTGGGATTCCAGGAATGCTGGAAAACCCAGGGATGGCCGAACACCATCCCGAATCCGGGAAAACTCCAAAACCGGGATTTGAGAATGCTGGGAAGCTCAGGGACAGGGAATAAATTCCTGGGATTCAGGGATGCTCCAAGTTCCAAGGATACCCCGGGAGCGGGATCCAGGGAATCCGCAAATCCCAGGGATGGGGAATCAATCACCGGATCCAGGGAATCAGAGGCGGGAAATGAAATCCTTGGGAGCCAGGAATGCTGGGAATATCCAGGATGCCCAAACACCGGGATTTGGGAATGCTGTGAACCCCGGGGATGGAGAAGAAATCCCTGGGATCCGGGGATCCCCCAATTCCCAAGGATGGGGAATTAAATCATCGGGAATTC